AATTCTCAGATGGTCTGGAAAATACTACGCACAAACTAGGGGTTGACAATGGGACAGCGCGAAAATCCAGTTATCGATCTACTGCCACTACTCTATTGTAGATGTAATGTGTAGATATTTCTTCATCTGCTCTACACAAAAGGAGATGGACAGTTGTCTCGAATTGCAGTCAGAGCACATAACATTTACTCCAGAGAAATCGAAGAGAGACTGTCTTCCGTTTTTGAACGTCCACATTAACCTATTCAAAAGTGGCTACACCACCAAATAGTATCAAAAGCCAACTAACGAAAACATACTGGTTCATTATTTCTCCTCTCATTTCTCACACACTAAAATGGAACCTGTAAGAAACATCTTTCGAACAGCCAACAGTGTGTGCACACGAGAAGATTAGAAAAAGGAATCCCTGCACTTGACGCGAAAACCGTCATTTCCATTGGCTACGTAACAATAGCTCCTTGGGATATCTTCAGAGAGAAAGTGGAGCTACAAAATGACTACCATTCATTTCCAAAGAAACAAGCACAGCTAGAAAACGATACCTGGAAAGGACGGGTCTAGGGGAATCCGTAGTAGTGATTGCACTACCACCGAACATTCTTTCATCTACGACACTCTACCACCCAGAAATCATGTAAAAAAAACGTCATAAATACATTGGCGAAACGGGTAGACAGCTGTGTTTGCATAAAAGAAGACAGTGATGGAAAAACATAAAACAAAGAGGCGTAACGGAGATGATTTTAAAGTAAAAGTTACCATCGACGCACAAGAATCGAACACTTCAGCGCGCAAAATCCTCGAGGCATTTTGGACTAATTCCGAGGATGCGAAACAACAGTAGGGAGGAATGTCTCGTTTCACACGTGGTCTCATACAATATCTAAGACTGATATTTGACAGTAACTCCCACGACCGATTTTCTATTAGTCTCGGCATTAATCAAGTAATTCTTCGTATTCTTGTTGAGCAAACGCGAGGTGTTCTTATTACTGTTTATTCACGAATAAACTGGCGTTTCGGCGCCTGGAACCTGGAAAAGGCAAGTTGACAGCAATCTATTCGGCCAAACACCTCCATAACCAAACAAAGAAAACGCTAAACCAAGATTTCAATCACACTGAACAGAGCTCTGCACACTCACCTCTTTCTATGAGGCTTCCACTGAGTATGTCGCGTGAAGACCAACCGCACAGAATTCACATGGAAGCGAAATATGTCCCACCAGAATAACAGGTTTATATACTGCCCAATATCTCGCGTGATAATGAGGCATTCTTCTCCGTGGTTCATTTTCGGATTTCTGGAATTAATCCAGAATGTCTCTAGAGTTTTGCGCGCTTGTGTTCTCGATTCTCGTGCGAGGATCATGACACGTACTTCAAAGCCTTCCCCGTTATGTCTCTGGTTCCTGTACGTGCCTAGTGGGGAATTTGGCTTATGATTGCCTGCTAGGTGTTCTTTTATGCGGACACAGAGGGGTCTGCCCGTTTCGCCAATGTATTCGTCTCCGCACGCCTTACAGGAGATCAGATAAGCTATACCCGAGCTCATGCAATCACCATCTCTACCACTGGGGCAAATTATGCAATTTTGAGTTGCACATAGACGGTCACATAGGCGGTTACGAACTAGCTGGCGCTTAAGATTACTCGGTGGTATTTCAACGACGCTCACCGAATTCTCTAAACCCGCCCTTCTAAAGCAGCGTTTTATAGCTATAGTTACATAATTTGCGATGAAGGGTAAGATAAACGGGATCCTTCTATCGCTAGAGTTGTCGTTTGGAGGCCTAGGATTTCCCCTAAACCTATCCTGAGCTACAGTTTCGTAGCCATTGGAAAGGGCTATTTGCCGTGCCAAGTTCCGGGACTCCTCTCTCTGCTCTCTTCCCGTGCACACGTTGGTTGCTGTTCGAAACATGTTTCTTATAAGCGCCCTTTTCGTGTGAGAGGGGTGAGAGGAGAGGTAATGAACCAAGATATTTTTACTACTTGGCTTTCGGTACCACTTTGTAATGTAGCCATTTTCTGATAGGTGAATTTGTACGTTCAAAAATGGAAGCCATTTTTCTTTCGGCTTTTCTCGGGTGAACTTGATATACTCTGACTGTGCGTTTAGTTTCGTAGCCATTGGAAAGGGCTATTTGCCGTGCCAAGTTCCGGGACTCCTCTCTCTGCTCTCTTCCCGTGCACACGTTGGTTGCTGTTCGAAACATGTTTCTTATAAGCGCCCTTTTCGTGTGAGAGGGGTGAGAGGAGAGGTAATGAACCAAGATATTTTTACTACTTGGCTTTCGGTACCACTTTGTAATGTAGCCATTTTCTGATAGGTGAATTTGTACGTTCAAAAATGGAAGCCATTTTTCTTTCGGCTTTTCTCGGGTGAACTTGATATACTCTGACTGTGCGTTTAACAACCATGCGTTTCATGTTTGCGAATGAAACTCTCAAGGTCCTTAATCACTATCGCGCGAAAAGATACAGCTCCAACCTCACTCCAGTGCAAAAACGTGGTATGCGAGAGGTACGAGACCTGATAAGGTTGAAAACCATAAGACTTTCCGTTAGTGATAAGGGTGGAGAGTTTGCATTGCAAAAAAAAATTGCATAATTTGCCCCAGTGGTAGAGACGGTGATTGCATGAGCTCGGGTATAGTTTATCTGATCTCCTGTAAGACGTGTGGTGACGAATACATTGGCGAAACGGGTAGACCCCTCTGTGTCCGCATGAAAGAACACCTAGCCAGGAAAAATAGACCAAATACCCCGCTAGGCACGCATAGGACCCAGAGACATAACGGGGACGACTTCGAAGTATGTGTCACGATCCTTGCACGCGAATCAAGAACACAGGCGCGAAAAACTCTCGAGGCACTCTGGATTAATTCCAGAAATCCGAAAATGAACCGCAGGGAAGAATGCCTCATTATCACGCGTGATATAAGGCAGTATATAAAACTGCTTTTCTGATGTGAGGGGCACATTATACTTCCACGTGATTTCTGTGCGGTTGGTCTCTACGTGACATACTTAGTGGAAACCTCATAGAAAGCGGTGAGTGTGCAAAGCTGTGTTCAAAGTGATTGAAATCTTGGTATGGAGTTTCTTTGTTTGGTTATGGAGGCGTCTGGCCGAGTGAGTTGCTATCAACTTGACCTTTCCAGGCTCTGAAGAAGGCGAAATCCGCCGAAACGTCAGCTTAATCGTGAACAAAGAATAGTAACACCTCGCGTTTGCTCAACAAGAATACAAAGAATTACTGGTATTTTAAGCTAGGGGAGGAACAATACCCATTATTGCCAACACTGTGCACTTGGCCTCCACGTGAAGTGCTCAGTAGAAAACTCGCAGATAGCGTTGACCATTTCAGGAAGTCAATTTTTTTCCAGTGCGATTGAAATTTAGACTTCGTGGTTTTCCTGCAGCGGTCATGAAGGTATTTCGCTGAGTAGATTGTAGTCAACCTAACTTTCCCAAGCTTTAAGGAAAGCGAAATCTCCACAACGTCAGCTAATTTGAATGAATAGTATAATAACAGATTTGTGTGCGCTTATTAATAAAACAATGAATTATTGCTCAATAGCGAGGTTAACAGAAAGTCCGTCTTGGGAATTACGGTACTAGCATTTATTCTCTCATTGATATTCTAACACTCCACTGAAAAACGTTCGACTCGATACGACAACTAAGACACTACATAGGTAGTGCGAACGACTGTGGACCATCGACTTGGATCATCGGTTTTGAGGAAGAAAACGTCGGAGTGTTAGCCGATTAAAGAGTTCTTATCAACCCCTATCAACGAAAGAATACATGTTGGCTAGTAGTACGAGATCAGAACAAAATCGGTTTTTCAAATACAGGACTAGTACTACTTATTCTTTTATCAGCTTGTTTCATTGCGATCTCATACGACAATACTTTCTCCATGCAAACTGTCGAGGTCAGATGACAATGGGAGTGAAATGACTTAAACCTCTTTGTGATTTTAAACCAGAAATTTATGAGTTAATTAAAAAACGTGCTACTCAACGAGTTTTAAACAGCGACGAAAAGAATACCCCATACATTGACAAGGCCGAAAATTTTTGGCGTAGTTGTGAAGTGTTTTGTGAAATTATGAAGAACATGGAAATACTCAAAAATGAAGAGAAGGTTGATGACATAAAAGTAAACAATTTGCAAAATCTTGCATTAGATTTTAACAGAACCGAAAGCGAAAACTGCATCAAGGCCACCGGAAGCTTACGTGAAGAACTCAACTGGCAAGCACTGAAGTGCAGAAATTATTAGGCGCGCCATGCACTTCGTGAAAATTGGTGGTGTTGTCCAATTCGAAACGCACGTAGATGTGAAACAAGACGATGATTTTTGCAAATATCTTCTCTCGAACTGCGCGCGTGTAACGCGGTGATTAGACATGCCCAGTGATACACATGGGTCCAATTCCACATCGCATGCTCACCTAGCCCTCCATCCCTCTGGCGCTGGTAAATTGGTGCCAGAATTGTTTGGGATGATAGCAGCAATGTCTCGACACGTCGATAGCCTATCAAAAGTCGTAGCATAGGCTATATGTTCATTCAGTCTATTTCTAACCATGCTTGGTGAAGTCGAATGAATGGCGCATTCCTTGGGGATTGATTGATCAGCGCCCACGGCTTTATGCCTTTAGCTTCGAAAAATCACTGAAACAGATGAAAAATTGCTGTAAGGCGAGGAATGACAAGTTTGAGGGAAAATCGGGGTTTACGATTTAATTCGCAATCGCCTATGGTTAGTGCCACCGATAATTTCATTTAATCTTCAAAATTCATTCCCATTCTAAGCGAGCAATTCTGGTGAGATCCTACACACTGGAGGAGAACTCATCCATGCTTACATGTAAACAGAAATAAGATTCAAGGTGAATACACATGTTTAAGAATTTTACCGAAAGCACCCGTGAAGATGAAGTCGTCTGAGTCCGAAATGGAAGTGAAATTGAAGGATAAATTATTGCATGTTATAGTCTTTTAAACCCAACCTTTGTAAGCATAACAAGCATTTAAAAAGCAAAAAGCAAATATGTTCACCTGCCCGAAGAAACGAAACAATCTTCAAACACTCACTGTCAAAAGCCCAATTGAGCACCATAATTATGTACAGTGGCTTAAAGAAGAAATAGAACGAAAAGATGAGCAGTGAATAGCAAGCGAGCACGACGTGGAACAACTGAAAGAAATCTTAAAATCGGAACGAAACTTATTCACCAATCTTCCCAATGAATGGTTTAATACATTCGCATGTGACCACCTTCGAGTAGCAGAGTAAAAGCAACCTCGTATTACGAATAGCTCCATTCAGCGATAAATTGAGATTTTCGATATCTTAGGGTTCACATAACAGTCGATGAACATCAAAGACAAGAACATAATTCTTTATTTTAATATGGTTAACTTATTTTTCTTCTGCTATTACTGATTCGCAATAAATTCGTTGACAGGCAACTTGGGCTTGACCCACATGGACACCCAGAGAAAATAGCTGAGAATGCTCTATGATCGAAAACCTGTAAAAGTATTGTAGGATTTCGTCGATTGGCGACGAGAAGTGTACGATGAAAATTCTATGCACCGAAACAAACTACCGAAGAGAAAATGACCTTCAGACAAGCCAGAACGTCGCACTGCAGATGGCTCCTATCGAACTCACGCGGCCGTGGGTGGGTTAATGGAAAAAGAAGGAATTGGATACTCAGTGAGAGCAGAAGGATTCTAAAATTTTCATGCTTGAAGCAATTACGAAACAATCTACGGAAAACTTTCGGGAAAAACACTTTCACAACGAGCTCGATAAACTGTGGTCAAGAACGGATGTCGACAAACTGAGGTCATACTACACTCCCGCATCCTACGTGTCAATGAGCTGCCCGGCAAAGACAACATAACTAGTTTAACGTTTTGTTTTCTGCCTTCTATAATTTTCATGGCAGGTTACTAAGTAAGCGAAATACAACCACAACGTTGCTGAGATATTTGCAAAACTCTGGACCGCAGGTGTCTATGGTGGGGAACGAACGCGCTATTGTCCTTTCCGGGGAGTAACGCGTTCACCACCACACCATGCGGGTCCTTTGTTTTGCCTTTGTCCTTTGTTTTGCCCAGAGTTTTGCAAATATCTCAACATAACTAGTGTTTGACTGGAGTACTAAACGCAATACGGATACCTGCCATACACTTAGATGAACTTTGAACGAAAAATCGTCATAAGATCGTGGACTCCTTCTTAATGATGAGCAGGAGCCTCAGTGCACTAGGAATTTTTGGTGTTCTCTATTCGTACATTCAGCGAGTTGAACTAATTACAAATAATAACGTATAAAATTGAAGAAAAACACGGAAACCATTTATGCATATTTACCAATACTTCCAATGAAAAAACGGAAAATAGTCAATACATAGCTGGGAGTAAACCCTCATCGCCGCACGGCTCGGCGAGCTTCCAATGGTTACGCTCACACCACAAACGAGGAATAAAGAATTTCTCATGAAGACTATGGCTCTTGTACTCTTTGAGCGAACGAAATCCGCTGAGGAGCTACAGCTCACGAAAAAGACGCATGAATAATCTAATTTTGCCCGCTTGAGTAATTCAATTGCAAACGGGATCGCAGGTAATACAAATGATTCCTTTTTACTTTTTAACATGCCCTGACATCACATGTTGTGTGAATCCCAGCAGTAATTTCATTCGCACCATCATCATCTTTGTGGATGTCGTTGAATCTTAGTCCAGTAGATTCTTAGTAACGTCCCAGGATAGCCAGGCTTAGGTATTTTCGCCGCCGGCAATCACAAGCGGTTGCGGATCAATGGAAGCTCCCCAAACGAGACTGCCACAAATCTCCTAAGCCTGAACGTTCGAGGTTTACTTGACCAATGCCAAAGTGAATCGAACGAGGACCTTGCGCATATTACTACATGACACCTCTATCGCTAAACTATCAGCGTCCCACAAATGATCACAAGCAATTTTAATTCCTCAGATTTACTTTCCAACTTTAAATAGAGTATAAAAAGATCGGAACCAGCTCTTGGGATTTTTCAGCCAAGAAACAATTTATTAAAACAAACATTTGATTCGATCAAGTTAAACTCACACTAAACGTCAATTTTCTGAATGCTGCGCTGTTTTAAGAGGACTTCAAAAAGTAGGTGACGGATCGCAATGGCTGGATTGAGTTTTATAGCAGGGCCATAAAAATTATTCTCAGAGGAAAAACCGTGATGCGATTAACCAAGGAAAGCAGGGTTGAAAACTTGGAAATCACAAATAGAATAGATAACTTTGTCTTCATAGCAATAAAGATATCGGTGAATAGACAACACCGAACGAGCACTGGAGGGGAGCCATATTCAAACCTAATTATTTTAACAGGACTCTATTTACATTTGAGTATGTTGTATTCTGCTAACTTCTACGAGTTACTCATTTTATTTTCAGTGATTGATAGCAAAGAGGAACAAACATGTGGAAGATTACTTCTCGGTTTGACCTGTAGTTGACTGCTTAGTACTACTGACTAAAGGACTCACCGAGGTGGCGATGAGAGGCCAGACTAGGTGGTGTCGTCGTGCAACGATTGCAGCAACGGTGGTTGCGGTTACGATTGTAGGAATTAACAGCAAGAATATTGCTTTTCTGAACTTTAGGTATAGCATAGCGAACAAACCAAGAATCACCAGAATACCCACGCACACCGTGATCCGTATACCGGCCTAAATTAACGTCCCTTGTCAATCTGAACGTATACGTACCCGGAAAGGGTAATAGCGGGTTCGATCTCCACTGCAGACACCTGCGGTCCGCAGTTTTACAAATATCTCAACACCATTACGGTTCCTCCAGTTATTCTTCGTATTCATCAAAAAATGATATGGTTATAAACTGATCAAGTGCCAGTGTTAGTGTCAGTGTTCGACAGTATCAATGTCAGAAAAGTTTTTTGCTGGATATTCCTCATGAGGAGAAAGAAGAAAAGTGTAGAAAAATCTATATACAACTGACGTTCAGGTGTGCTATTCCTACTCGACATCGTTCGTCTCTTTTATGAGATTCTTCCAACGAAAAGATTTTCGCCATTCCCTAAATACTTACGACGTTAGGGATAGCGTGATAAAGAGAAACATGGAATATTTTTCCAGACATAATGTATTGAAAACAGCGTATCAGGATCAATGTTCAGCAATTTAGTTCGTTCTATTACTAAATTTTCAGTTGCAGATATTAAGAAAATCACTTCTGCAATGCATTAAGAAAAGCAGCCGATAGACGATTTAAAGGTTCGTCCTCTTTTACTGCTTGAAACGCCTTTATGAGAATGTGATCGCTGTAGCAGAGAATTAGTGGGACGTGAAACCTCTGAAAACTATTGCGGTCGTATGTACGACATAGGTAGACCAACTTTATGATGTGTAACTATGCAGGTTGGCTGCATAGCAATGAACCAGTAAAAAGCTAACGAAGCCAATGTCAAGAAATCAGAAAGATTAGAATTAGTAAAATCGCGACAAATCTCTATGGCGCATGTGCGACCCAGAAAAACAACAATTCCTTTCTATATGAAAGTGAAACGAGGTCAATGAGATTGCCGCAAGATGATTACTAAGTACAATCGTTTGAGGGATTTAAGGAAAGGCGCAATCCTCGAGAATGGAATGGTGAAAATTCCTGCGAATAATGTTGAACTGTAATCCTGAGAATGGCTAAAAGAAACAGTAGAAGTTAGTGGAAACCGAAAGTGAGAGTTGGAGAACAGTCGGAGAATCGCGTTTGCTATAGTAGTCGCACTAAAATGGCAGCCTAATGATTCACAATATTTAGCCTAGTTCCTGCTTAACGACCTGACTTTTGAAGCGTTTCGAGTTATAAACTAAATGTTTGCATTTACGAATAAGGTCCACCAAAAAATATTTGGTAAGAGTAATTCATTTGCTTATTCTAATCCTTATGAAAAACTCATCCACCGTTGTGCGCTTTAACTAGTAGGCGAACCGCAGGAGGCAAAGGGAAGTGGGAAAGGGGGTGGAGGGCGAATTGAAATGAATAAAGACAGGAAAGAACCAAATAAAAGAATGAGATGGTATGAAAAATATACAGCGACTCGAAAGAAGGCCATCAAAAGTTAGAGTTGCCAAATTTTTACTACACGCTCTACACCAATCTTACGATTTCAGTTCATTTTTGCATTTTTTTCTTGGTGGGAGTACCCTCCATTGTACACCGCTTCATCGTAAGGTTAAAGTGCTCTTTATGTCGAACTGGACAACAGGAATTCTCCCCATAGCAGAATAATTGGAGCTCAAAAGTGTTTGATATTTCCATCCCAGCGTACAACAAACTTATGCATAAAACAGCGAGGAACTCGGTGTTATATTCGCTCAGAAAACAATGACAACTGGCTATGTACAAATGTGCTATACTCTATGTATAATTCTTAGTGAAACACTCCAGCAGTTGGTTCTGGTATCCACGAAGGATCAACGCAGACTTGTTAGCGATCGAGTTACTCGATTACTAACTGAATTATTTACTTGGATTATTGGATTGCCTGTTTTCACTGGTTGTGTGGGTCCCAGTATAATTCTTACTGCTTCGGAGTTTTGCTGGCTTGGGCATTGTGGTTCCCTTGAGCCCCAAGGTCAGCTCGGCCAAAGGCTGCTCCGGATTGTCACCACCACAGACAGTCGCCGCCCTTATGGATCAGAGGGAGATTTTCCAGCTTGAGATTGATTTGATATCAGGACGATGGTGGATCTTGATATTGGTTTACCCTAAGCTAAACTTCTTGATGGAAACGCCGGACACCTTCTCATCGTGGGAGCCCCTACCGAATCCCCTCGCTATACACCACAGCCCGACAACCAAGAACACCTCCCAGCCACGATGAGGCCTTAAAGCATTGGGAGGATTAGCTGGATTACAGATGTAAAACGGTAAATTAAAAATCATGTTTCAGTGTAGCGGGCACCTTTTGTGAGCTGTTATTTCCTTTCAAATAAAAATCAGTGAACGCGTATTCTTCTTACAAGATGTGTCACAGGTATAAAGGATAAAATGTTTGGTGCTTATCAGTACCCGACAGATGAACCCTGAATTCGATATCATCAAGCATCAGAAAGGTGAAAACAGCAAAACACTGCGTTCCCTCAGTACTCTCTGCAAAGGTTACCCTTGAAACAGCTTTGTAAGCAATAGGTGTAATAACCAATATAATAATGTACGAATGTTGTCTCCACTGTAAATACAGTTAAATTGGAAAAAATAACGTCATCATTGCCATGCTATCATTGGAGTCGTGGTTAGCACAGTAGTAGTCAAAGACTTTAATACGTGAAATCCCTTCGTTCGTTCACCTCTGCTTCCTGCAGACCCAAGCGGCGTCTTACCACTGACGGATACGAGGAAACGAATTGAATGAAAGATGTGCGCTCATCTGCACAATAAATATGAAGACGGGTCATGTAAAGAAAATCCGCTAGCGGAATAATGAAATGTCTATGTCGAAGAATGTTTCGTTACTCTTGGAAAGACTCGCTGAACGACTTTCAGTCTAATAATATGAAATATCTCTTCCAGGAACATCTATCCGTTCGTAAAATTAAATGTTCATGAACTATGTAGCCATAACACATTTGGTTGCAAGACCATCACAAATACATGGGAGGGCCACGAATGTTAGCTACAGACACCGTTCCAGAGTGTTTTCAACCGTTCCTTTTCGAGCAACACAAGGACAATTTACTTTATAGAATCAAGATTGACGAACTCGACCTGTTAACAAACTGAAAATAGAATTCAAAAAATGTAAACGAAATGAGTCCACATAATAGTATAAAGTTGTATTGCTAAAATGTAATAAGATGAATGACACTTAAAGAATCGCCAACGAATGCAAACCAGTCTTGACGCAAACTGGAAGCGATGTAGAATGTGGTCAAATCTAGGAATCCACCAATCAAAATGCAGATGAATTTGAGAACACAGCAGCATATGACACAAAATAACCATGTTTTATTATAAATTCCACAGATCACCAACATGAGATGAAATGCTCGTTTACAAACTACCAATATTGCGGCGAATACAAACAAACAATTGCCGGTCATTGGACCAGCCCACTTCAACCCACGAGGAAATTTTTATGCTTCATCTACTTCATCTACTAATCGTGATTCAATCTAGTACAACGACTTCAATACGAACCCGTACAGTCATCCTAGATCTCGTCAACTGATAATGGCTGCAATTCGATAAATCGCCTACAATACACACATAACGGGTGAGAGAATGCTTTGAATGGTATGACGTGACAAAGGCTAAAGCAACCTCGATGGTCTTAGCTGCGAAATGGTGGCGCTCGTCAATTAAACCGGTTAGGGAGTCTCCCCTAGTTCCAAACCTTCAACAACCGCTTATGTTATCCAGTGAATAATGCATAGTAGGTAGAACCATCCGCCGGCATCTAGACCGATAAGGCTAATCGAATTAGTTTCGACATCGTCCAAACTCACGGAAACAAGCTTTTCGTGAAATCACTCCTCATGGCCACTGATAGATAGCCTCGAACGTCTTTCAAGGTCAAATCGCTGTTCCAGCTATGGATCTACAGTTCTCATTCTTTTCCTGAACAAACTCTGCTGGTTCTTCCTCACAATTTAACGGTGATAATCTTCATTTTCACCGTGGATACCAAGTATGTCATAAACATTCTACAGCACATCAGCTCATCCTGACATCAACACGATTTGCAAGTTTTTTTTTATAAAAATTAGAACGCCTCCAATTAATAACTTAAAATGGGCAGTTAATATCTACACAGGAATAAATGATATGCGATCATTATTGCTCCGATCTATGTTCAATCAAAGCGACTAAGCAGCTGACGCTAATATCCATCTAACAAGTTTCGCTCGAGAATAACTAGCCGTTCAACGACGCAACTGAAAATCTGTACTATTCTAATAGTGGCTTGACAGCGTAAATTTGTTTCGATCGTTTCCCTTATTAAATATGAAAATAGTCACCTAATAACTAGTTTGATTCTAAAGCAAAATAAATCAGTGATGGTTCAATTCGTGGCCGGGAACTCATATAAAGTGAATGTAAATAACCATTTGTTCTCGGGTCTAGCACACTATCACCAAATTCTGGACTAGATGGCAAATAGATAATAGAGAAAGATAATTTCTACACGCAAATACATACTGAGGTGTCAATCCGTAATGGAAAATTCAGTAATGGACTGATTGAGACCGAATTTGAAAGACAAAATACTCAACGCGAATGGTGATGTAACAAAGTGATTAGTACAAGTCCCTGTACAAAGTGCAATAGTTTAAAACCCAGCACTTGGAATCAGTGAATCGGACCCGAAGGAGAGCTGTTCAATTAGGGGCAGTGACCGGATCGACAGTTTGGTTAATGGGGGCGTGGCAAGGCGCCACGTCGATGGCGGCCAGGATATTGTCGATGCCGAGAAGACAACCCTCGTCAATTCCTTCGTAGGCGACATCCTGTAACGAAACCATTCAGACGTCTTATTGTCCAATCACAGAACACTGAGAGCCAATAGTACTGTAAAATAAAGCATACGCAATGATCATTTGAAAAAAAAAGCGAAAAACCACTTCGGCATGCTCGTGCAGAACAACAGTGGATGAAATTCTACTTTCGAGACAACCGGTACGTTTCACAATTTTTAAGAGCTGTAAAAGGACTTTGATACAGTAAATTTCAGATGCTTTTTAAGCTATATGCGATCCTGACTAATCAATAAAAGCAGTTAAAGGCATGAAAGAATAGAAATTTCCTTTCCTCTCATCAACTGGACTACTACAGGCAGTGCATTTCTTCGCGAAGTGATTAGTTGGAAAAAACAACCCTACTGTTAACACTTTAACATAGGAATTCTATAGCGTAGGATCAAAACGATGACATACTTAGAGCACACAAAACAAATTAACAAGACGGACTTAAAGGTTAAGAAGAAAACAGACTGAAACTTATACTTCAAGATTGGAAAATTTCTATGGAAAACAAAAAATATCAAACTAAAGCTGTTGCTCTTGCCAAATTCGCACTTTAAAACAGCAACTTGTGCAGCGCCGGGAGTAGAAGTTGCTTTCCAACTCAAGTTCCAAATTTGACTTGGCAAGGTATCGGAGAATAATTTTACTTGACAATGAAGAACTTCCAAATGTCGGTACATCCTCATCGTCCAAAGAACCCGACCAAAATTAAACGAACCACTTTTCAGATTCTCGGAGAAGCATATTTTCTTACTCATAGGAAAAAAGTGTATTAATACCAAAACAGATTTCTTTTACATTGCAAGGGTTTCTAAATTGCTGAGGTATTATGAAGTACAAATGCATGTGAGTAGCTAACAACAACACCTGCCGTCCTATTGACCGTCAAGTGACCACAGCGGGAACCAGGAAATCCTCCACTTTTTCTTGCGTGCAACAATAGACCAGTGGGTTCTCCTAGCTCTAGAGGCTCAATGAGCACCATATCTCTATTCTAGCATTTTTAAAAAAAGCTATGACCATCGGGTCGGTAGTCTTCCGACGCTAGTGTACGCTTGACATCCCCAGGAAACCATTCGCTAACGGTTCTTCTCCATCTGTTTTCATTCATACGCATTAAGTAGCCAGCCCGCTCGATCTTCGACAATTTGGCATATGGAACGTTTTTGACTTTTGATCGTTGACGTCAGTCAGATCATCGTATCCCCTCTCTTACTTGGGTGATGTTGGACACTCCCAGCATCGCGCTGTCGAATGTGTGTTCCACAATGCTGAGTGACCTTTCATTTTGTATACATGGCCACCACGTTCCGAACACGTACTTAAGTCAGCAGCAAGCCTGGAGTCGAAAAGATGTGCACAGGGTGGACCGTTCTTAGCCCTTTTCAATACATCCTAAGTGCTTTTGGAAGCTCCACAAGAAACTCGTTTCCTCCTGCTGAACTCTGGAGGTAAACCGTTTACCAATCGAAAAGACCGACTTTCAGCAAACCTCAGGATAAATAATCGATATACTTATTTATATGTTCTTATAAACAGAGCATGCTGAGCTCATGCGAAATTGGTATAAGTCGTCGTTGTCGTTGGTCGAAGGCTCAAGTTTCGGCGATTTCGTCTTCCTCAGAGCCTGGACGTATTTTATGTAACAACGGTCTTACAGTTCAGTGGAAAATAGTATTAATAAAGACCTAACACATAAATGAACACCATATTGATCAAACACTACTCATAGTGATGTTACGAGTGGGACTATCCATGTTGCTTACGTGGGATGACGAGCGTGACCCATCCAGGTCAAAAAATCAATTTGAAGTAAGGAGCCAGATCACGTGTGATAGTGAGGCATTCGTCTTTCCGGTTCATCTTTGGATTTCTACAATTTATCGAAAACGCCTCAGGAGTCTTCCGCGTTGGTTCTTGGTTCCAATGCTAAGACCCGGACTTTCACTTTAAAATCATCGCCATTGTTGGGCCTAATGGGTATCCTGAGGATTGTCATTATATCATTGTCGAATTTCCACATTCCCATCCTATATATCCTTTCATGCGGAAACAGAGTGATCTGCCCGCCTCCCCAACATATTCGTCATCGGATGCCTTACATGAGCTCAAGTATATTGCACCTGAACTCACGCAATCCCCGTCTTTCCCGTTGAGATAGATCACACGGTTTTCTGAGGTCCATAAACGATTACGGAGGCGATTGCGGATTAATTGACGACGTAGGGTATTGTCCGGAGTTGATACTGGTTTGATGTAGAAAGTTGTATTGCAGGGTATTTGGTGAATTGGCGTCAAGATTTTAAAACCATATAAAAATTGTATTTTGAATGGAAAACCCGAAATTCTCGACCCAAGTCATTAGCTTTTCAACAGAATGGAATGAGAATGGTTAAGCTTGCGTTGATGGAAACATCAAATCCACGAATTCATACTTTCGTACGCTGTTATTAGAGAGCGTTCATCCTTATTATCATAAACAGCGTTTGATGGGCGTTGTCCTCGTGTCTCAGCCAGTCTGATGACTTTACCCCTTTCAGATTTAGTAAAGCTATAGCGGCCCTGAAATTTTAGCAACATTTCAGTATTTGTCTCAAGCAACAGCAGAAGAATCGGAGCTTTTTAGAGTAAGCAAAATAATTCTCTTCATTTTTCGTCGTAAACGATTTCTCGTGTACCGTTATATCGGAAGTAGAGGTGAGGTTTACCTCTAGAAGGGTTACCGCGAACAATTTCCTCTGTAACAAAACTTGATTTCAGAAGTCATTGCCGAAATCGTTTGCAGGATATATTCCATATGGATGTAACCAAATTCAACCACGTACGCATGGATGTGAATAAGTGTACATGGAAAAAAAAACCGGTGTAGTAAATACAGAAGAGTCCTCCTCTTAGATCACAAATCATATCAACGCGAAAAAAAGATTGATGTGATCCATGTATGACCCGCCATTCACCAACCACAGTCGCGCGACGTGGCCTCCATATTTACTAGCTGGGGGTCAATCAGTTCGAAGTACCCAAAGGTCTATGTGATGTGGAATAAAAAAATTTTCCAAACCACTACACCTGTATTCACGGCGGTGAAATTTATAGCATTGAACTTTCTCAAAACTCCATTAATTCAATCCCAGTAGATGTTGCCTGCCCTAAAGCCCACAATGAAGCAAACGCCACGAAAAATCATCGGTAAAGTAATTCTCTACTTTTACCATATTCCTAATACAATACATTGACAGCTATGGTTATCATAGCATCCACACCAGAAACAAAATACGATAAAGAACACGAGTGCACTGCCATTATTGCGTAAATTTCCAAATATTACATGCTTTACCAACCTGCGCGAATCCAGGGAATGTGGAGTGGGCGAAGTCTATCAGCCGTAGTCGAATCGCGTCATCCGTAGTAGAATCTGCCGCATCAGCATCAAAAGCAAATAGTAACGACGATGAGAAGAACCGATAGCCAACACACTCAACCAATGTCGCTCTAAGCTCACGCAGTCTAAAAGGTCACCGTTTGAACAACAGAACGTAGTTTGAATAGATGGTACCTGTAAACACTACACTATGAGTAATTTGATTCCCATGCATCTCATAGTTTTTTAGTTCACCAGATAAAAATATGAATACCGATGTTCGGTGTACTCTCAATATTTATATCAAAACTATTTAGTGAACACAATAGGATTTCTTGGATGTAAAAAGTATTTTGACAAGTTGCTCTAATAAGGTTTACACAAAGAAAAAAGGTGCCCAAATGCACAACCCTGTTTCGGAATTTCGGCCCAGTGGAACAGCTTCTAAAAGACTTTCAAACACTGGTCATAGAAGACATCATGCAATGGACATTGTAGTACCCAACTTTAATCCAATGCATTTCAGACGCTAAAAAGTACCAAAACTTGGAATTTATACATGGCTTATTATACGGACATCTCGTCTTTATGAATTCTCGGAAAGCTAAGAAACTTAAGCTGAAAGCAAATGAAATAAAGAAATGAGGTTATTGAGCATCACTTATCGTATAGACAAACTTGATGAATAAAAGTTTTAGCTTATAAAATCTTCAAAATGAACGATAGAGTTATTTCGCCTACTATTTCGCCCTCATCGATGAAAGTACAGAACAAAAGAAATTAATGCGAGTGAAATAATTTCCTATTTGGTCACGAACTGTGCACAAGAAAAATTGAAAACGCCAAACCCTCAGTTCCATTCGCGGCACCAACTTTTAAACTAAAAGAAGTATAAACTTAAGACAAAAATTCTACATCGGAATTATGCAATGACGGGAACACTTTCGAGGAAACAGAAGATGAACGGCGCTGTTAATCCACTAGAAAACCAAAACCCTCAGTAAATCAATCCGTAACAATCGGTATGGACACTGCAGTATCCAATTTCAGTTTAGTGCGTTTCAGAATTTTTCCAACGCAATGTGTATGTTCCTCCCATCGCTAATCGAAAGCAAATCAAAATAATACGGGTGACAGTAGAACCATTCTCTACACTTTATGATTTGAAAAACTCCCCTTCGAAAAAGTTCATTGATCGCAAAATGACCAACAATTGACTGTTATTTCATTTTAATCATTACAGCGTCACGGTATGGAGTATGCGAGTATAAGGAAACACTGAACTAGTCTCAACATAACGTGCGAAATACTTCCAAGTGCTGACAACAATGTATTTGCATAAGAGACCATAGTACTACACAGTATAGCACACATATCATTCGCACCGATAGGACGAAGAGGTTGAAGTCTCTTCTAGAAATCTGCTCAGTTCACAACGCCCAAAGCACTAGTTACTGCAAAATTACTTCTTTCATTGTTAAAAAATCTGTAAGTCCGTAGTAGACGAAAACTTGCTGGTCTTCTATACGGACAGCCAGGATAAATGATGCGTGTCCGCTATGGATGCTTGGATGGCCCGTCCTCACTGGTTGTTTGGGGCCCAGCACAATCTCCACTTTTTCGAGGTTTTGCTGGCCATTCCATTTCATGCCATTCCATGGCCATTGTGGTTCCTTGGAGTCCCCGGATCAGCCAGGCCAAAGTCTAGCCTACATCGTCACCACCACAGGCAGTCACCGCCGTTGTGGACCAGAGCGAGATTTGCCACCACGCGACTAGTTTGGTACCAGGACGGTGACGGATCCTCGCATTGGTTTACTCTTAGCTGGGGTTCCTGATGGAAACGCTGGACTCCTTCTTCACTTGGGAGACCCTGCAAGGGAGGTGAATTCCCCGCTGTACATCGCAACCCGACACCTAGGAACACCTCTCACCCACGATGAGGCGGTAAACCGTTGGAAGAATCTGTTATGAGCTATGTTGTAAACGATACACTTCATCTATGGGCTGGGTTAGGGCATCGTACGGGTTAGGTTGCAATTTCGATACCAAAGATATGTGCGAGGAAAGTAAATTTTCAAAAAAATGGTGAATAAATGAAAGTAAAGTGAGGAATTTCCTTCATGCAGTCACCAATGTTGAATGTTCTTAAAGAAGTAAAACATGGTCAAGTTCAAAGTTTATTTCTGCTTCTAATTAGTTACTTGTAAAATGATTGGTTCATAACCATGAAACTCAAATACGTCAATCTCACCTTAAACCAAATTTTATTGGCCTCTAAACCCTCGTAATACACACGATAAGGTACCGTGCAAATGAATTAAGCCCACCATTCAATTGATTTAGACCGCCACGAAACAGCGCAATTCATGGCGATATGTTCTCACACTCCACGTACCCACCTCATATGAGCGATCTCAAGCCGGTTAGTTGCGAGGCTACGTAGAGCACCCCCAGGTGGTCGATAGGGGTTAATCGCGGACCAAAAGCGATCTCTGCTTCCTTGAGACGCAGGCGGACCCAGGCGATGGACGTCCTGTTTCTGCTGCGCCGATTTGGCACATACTTTCTGCATTTGCTAGGAGTATTCATGCATCCGTGTGTGGGTGCGTTCTCGCTTATACGGATTGTATTCTACGAGTCAGTTCGGTCAAAAGCCCACAATCAAGTGATAGTATATGGAAGGCGATTAAGAGTCGCCTCCAACAAATAAGTTCCATGTCCACTCTACGAGAGCCTAGCAAGTTACCCGTGAGTATACCCAGCCCCCACGTTCAGAGCCCATCAAGCTATACGTGGGTATTAAAATGCTAAATGCAGTAAAAAAAAAAACGGATCTCATTCCCCTGACCCCGAAAGAGCCTCCAATTTCGCAGCGTTGGGTAGGACGAGTACGGAGAGGCTGCTAAAATCTCGGGGCTGACGGAAGCTGGCTGGATTACAAAGAACTATGGTGACAATCTGTATATACAGTGGACGTACACTTGCATTCCGACACAAGACGACGCCACCCATTCAACGCCGTCTATGACACCAGAGAAGAACTGTTCCTCGGAATATGCGGCGGTGGAGGAGTCGGCGGCGTCGGTGTTCTCGTCAACACGAGTTTGTCCATGAACATCAATTCATTCGAGCAGCTTACAACGCGAATCGGACGTTTACGATTAAAAAAACATGGACCAATATAGGCTCTGTCAATCTTCGATGTTTACGCGCCGACAGCAAACTATGACGAAGAAGAACTCGAAGCGTTCTATATGGACTTGGAGAGGTTCTACAGCGAAGACCACACATTCTGCATGGTTATCATTGGAGATTTTAACGCCAAGATTGGACCAAGAAGAACGTATGAAAAACGTCACATTGGGACCCACAGATTGGAATGGAACGAACAGGATGAGCGGTTCTCTGGGTTTATTATGACGGCCAAGACCGTCCATGGTAACTTGCAATTCCAGGAGTCCCACCATCAACGTTGGACGTGGGAGTCTTCCAGTGGAAAGTACCATAACGAAATAGAACACATCATAGTAAACAAAAGGTTTTGCTAACCGATTTCTCTGTTGTCCTGAAGTTCCTCACGGGATCAAACCATCGTCTCCTCCGTGCAAGATTACATTTCTCTCGGAAAGGAGAGAAAGCCGCTAAATTCCAAAATCGAAGTCCCCAAACCACCATAAACTGTGACTTATTCAATTCATTAGTTCGTTGTTGAGAATATACCGTTGCCGATAACATCGACGAGGAATATGATTGGCTCATTCAACATCTTCGCATTAGTGCTGTGAAATCTGAGAGTTCGACAGCCACCAAGAGACATTTGTCTCTAGAAATACCCGAGCTAATACGCCAGCATAGAATCGCACGAGCTGCAGGCAGCTGCGAACTAACATCCGAACTAAGAAGATCTTAAAGAGAGAAGAACAGCAGTTATGGTCGAAGTTGCAAAGGCTGGGAAAAGCATTCGCAAAGCCCACCGAAGCTTCACCAATTACAGAACCAAGACGATTGCACTCCGACGCCTACACGGAATGGTGACAGCGTCCAGAAAGGCAATGTAGAAAACCATTCACTAATTCTAGTCATATCCCTTCGATAGTCACGTCCACCTCCCGTCATATGAAATAAAGGAGGATGGATGTGTTGTACCACCGGTTCTCCCTTCCGAAATCCGACATGCCATTTCGTCGGTGGAAAATAGAACAGCAACAGGTCCGGACAGGACAAGACAAGAACTCCTGAAGAACCATCCGCCAGTCCTTGTAAACACATTGGCTCGGCTCTTTACACGTTACCTGTCTGAATGCAAGGTCCCTACTCAGTGGAAGATCAGCAAGACCGTGTTATTGTTCAAGAACGGTGACCTACACGATACCGCCTCATCGTGGCTGGAAGGTGTTCCTGGGTGTCAAATTGCGATCTACAGCGGGGATTCGTCACTCCACAGGGTCTCGCAAGATCAGAAGGGGTCCGGCGTATCCATCAAAGAGCCTAGCTAAGAGCAAACCAATACCAGGATCCACCACTGTCCTGATATCAGAGTCGCATGGTGGCAAATCCACCTATGATCCACAAGAGCTGCGACTGCCTGTCGTAGTGACGACATGGGGCAGACTTTGGCCAGGCCGCCCTCGTGATTCCAAGGAACAACAATCACTTAACCAGCAAATCTCCGAAAAGTGGTGTTTATGCTGGGGGCCCCACGGATCTCCCTCATATGAGGGATCTCGAGCCGGTTAGTCGCGAGGCTACGTGGCGCATCCCCGGGTGGCGGATAGGGGTTAATCGAAGCGACCATTGCTTCCCTGAGACGCAAATGGAACCAGAGGATGGACTCCGTGTTTCTGCTGCGCCGATTTGGCACATACTTCCTGTATTTGGTAGGCGTATTCATGCATGCGTGTGTGGGCGCGTTCCCGCTTATACAGATTGTATTCCACGAGTCAATTCAGCCAAAAGCTTTCAATCAAGTGACAGGGACGTAAATTGGAGACGATTAGGAGTCGCCTCCAACAAACAAGCCTCATGTCCACTCTGGGACAGCCTGGCAAGGTACCCGTAAGCATACCTAGTACCCACGCTCAGGGCCCATCAATCTATACGTGGGTATCAAAATGTTAAATACAGTAAAAAAAAAAACGGACCTCATTCCACTGACCCCGAAAGAGCCCCCAATCTCGCAGCGTTGGGTGGGACGAGTACGGAGAGGCTGCTAAAATCTCAGGGCTAATGGAAGCTGGCTGGATTACAAAGAACTATGGTCACGATCTGTACCTACAATGCGCGTACACCTGCAACGGAGTCCTGGATAGAAGACTTGATGATGCAAGCAAGAAGGATAAAGTAGGTCATATGACACCGGAGAAGAACTGTTCCTTGGAACATGCGACAGTACAGGAGTCGGTGGAGTCGGCGTTCTCGTCAACACGAGTTCGTCCATGAGCATCGATTCATTCGAACATCCTACAAACCGGATCGGACGTTTACGATTAAAAAGATGTGGATCAATACCGGCTTCAACAATCTTCGTCATTTACGTGCCGACATCAAACTATGACGAAGAAGAAGTCAAAGCGCTCTACATCGACTTGGAGAGGTTCTACGGAGAGGATCACACATTCTTCAAGGTCATCATTGGTGATTTTCAAACCAAGACTGGACCAAGAAGAACGTCACATTGGAACCTATGGATTAGAATGGAACGAACAGGGTGAGCGGCTACCTGAGTTTATCATGGCGACGAAACAATCCAAGATAAGTCGCAATTCCAGAAGCCCCACCCTCCGCGCTGGAAGTGGGGGTCTCCCAATGGTACCATAACGAAATAGACCACATCATAGTAAATAGAAGGTTTCGCCTAACCGATGTCGCTGTTGTCTCAAAATTCTACACAGGATCAAACCACCGTCTTATTCGTGCAAAATTTCATTTCTTGCGGAAAGGAGAAAAAAATCTTTAAATTCAAAAACCGAAATCCCAGAGCCACCATAAACTGGGGTTTATTCACTTCATTAGTCTGCTCTTGGTAAAATGCCGTTGTCGATAACATCGATGAGGAATACGATCGGCTCATTCAACATCTTTACGTTGGTACTACGAAGTCTGAGAGTTCGAAAGTCACAAAAAGACGTTTGTATCCAGAAACTCTCGAGCTGATATGACAGCATGGAATCGCACGAGCTGCAAGCAACCGCGAACTAACGTTGGAACTTGCAAAACAATGCAGACAGGTGATAAAAGAAGATCTCAAAGAGAGAAGAGCAACAGTAACGGTTAAAGCTGCAGAGGCTGGGAAAAGCATTCGCAAAGCCCACCAAAGCTTTGGCAATTCTGAGTAGACCAAGATGGTTCCACTCCGACGTATAGACGGAACAGCTACAGCGTCCAGAAAGGCAATGGAGAAAATCATTCACGAATACTACTCAGATCTCTTCGATAGCCACGTCTACCTTCCGTTATATGAAATAAATGAGGATGGATATATTGTACCAACGGTTCCCCTTTCCGAAATCCAACATGTCATTTCGTCAGTGAAAAATAGAACACCAAGTCTGGACAGGATAACACCAGAACACCTGACGAACCTTCCGCCAGACCTCGTAAACACACTGGCTCGGCTTTTCACACGTTACCTGTCTTAATACAAGGTCCCTACTCAATGGAAGACCAGCATGACCGTGTTATTGTTCAAGAAGGGTGACCTACACGATATCGGCAACTATCGCCCAATCTGCTTCCTGTCTGTCGTCTACAAACTTTTCACTCGAATCATCCTAAATAGGATTGACAGAGCACTAGACGAAGGACAGCCATGTGAGCAAGCAGGGTTTCGAAGAGGATTTAGTACGATGAACTCTCTGAAGTATCGCGAGAGTACAAAAAACCGCTTTGTCTCACTTTTATCGATTTACAGAAGGCCTCTGATTCAATTGAGATAGAAGCAGTCATGGAAGCCTTTGATAGTCGACTCCCTACTCAGTACATAAAGATTCTTCGTGCGCTGAACAGAAATTTCACAACCAAGATATCACCATTCTATAACGATATTAACATTGACGTCAAAAGAGGAGTTAGGCAAGGCGATACCACTTCGCCAAAATTATTTACCGCTACCCTCCAGAATGTCATGCGAATCATCTTCGCTTTGCTGATGACATCGTCATTGTAACAACAAACATTAGACAGGGGTACGCTTGCCGACCTTGATAGAGCCTGTGGAAAGATTGGTCTTCGACTAAACCTCACAAAAACGATGTTCATGAGGAACGGATTGGTTTCGTGTGCGCCATTTACGCTCAACGGAACGAATATCTCCGAATGCGCCAGTTATGTCTACCTAGATCGGGAAATCAATATGATGAACGGCTTAGTTTCAGAACTGAGCAGAAGGAAACGAGCGACTTGGAGAGCTTTCAAGAGCATCGAGGAAGAACAGAGGAGAACAAAGAACACCCGACTCCGTTCCCACCTTTTCGACTCAAAGATACTTCCTACGTTAACGTATGCCTCAGAAACCTGGTCGCTTCGTAAACAGGATGAAAAATCACTAAGCGTTATCGAACACGCAGTCGAAAG